GGAGTCGCCATGATTCTCCCGCTCCAGACAGACGCAGGTTAAGATCCTCCCTGGTAAGCCAGCTCGTGGGCTACACAGAATATTAGAAATGGGTTAGAACAATATGTAAGAGCTAGCCAATAAGAAGCTACAGATAACGGGCCAGGCAGTGTTTGAAAGAATACAGTTTCCGTGTAATTATTTCGGGGCATAACCTAGCCATGCTGGCGGCCGGGTGCCGGGGATGCAGCCCTGCCGCTCTTATCTCAACAGGGAAAGAGGAAGGAAGCAAAGTCTTTAATCCCAGCACTCAGGAGGCAGAGGCAGGCTGATCTCTGCGACCTCGAGGCCAGCCTGGTCTACAAGAGCTAGTTCCAGGGCAGGATGCAAAGCTACATAGAAACACTGTCTCAAAAAAAATTAAAAAAAAAAAAAAAGAAGAAAACCTAGCATTCACTGAAACCCACCACAACTTGTCCTTCCTTTTCATGAGTGTTGTGGTCTGTGCTCTTTTGCTGTGATGAAACGCAGAGCAAACCAACTCAGAGAGGAAAGCTTTTGCTTTATACATCACCGAGGGCAGCCAGGGCAGGAATTGGAGGCAGGAACTGAAGCAAGGGCCATGGAGGAATGCGGTTTATTACCTTTCTCCCCACAACTTGCTCAGTTTTCTTTCTTATATGACTCAGGGCCATATGTCCAGGACCAGCATCAGCCATGGTGATCTGAGCCCTCCTACATGAATCTTTAATCAAGAAAATGCCCCACAGAAGTGCCCCCAGGGCAGTCTGCTGGAGGCAATGCCTCAACTGAGTCCCCTCCTTTCCAGGTGACTCTAGTTATGTCAAGTTGACAAAATCAACCAACACAATGGGAATGCACCTGACTATTAATTACTCTGGGGACAAACCATCCAGTCACCAGGCAAACACAACCCTCCCTCCCCTTTTTCTGACATCAAGCCTCATAGTCAGCTGCCTGCAGCCTCCAAAGTCCACACAGAAGAGCTGTCTCTCGTTCCACACCCACCTCCTCCCACTGTTCTGAGAAAGAACTGGGGTGTTGGACAAGGAGGAGAGCTACAACACAGAGCTCAGGGGATGCCTGACACTTGGGAACAGCTTTCCTGAGAGGCAGAGCAGCTCTCACCACCTGCTCTCTGTATCTGCCAAAAAGCTAACTATAAGTTTATACCATACAATTTATCCAAAGTGATTCTGTTCCCTCCACCATCTACCCACTCCTGAACATTGCACCTTGCTCTGGTTAGCAGCAGCCCAGCCCTGCGGCACACATGGGAGGCTCTAACCAGCGGGTGCTGTTTGACAATGTCCTAACATGCAGCATTACACTCAATCATCGCATTCAGAGCAGGGGCTCACTCCCTCTCACAGGGGAAGAGACCCGTGCAATGAAACTCAGTAAGGTGTCCAGGGAAGATGGCGGAGCCCAGGCTGGCGGCTCCAGCCTCCTGTTCCAGCACACAGGAGGTTTAAGGCAGGAGGATGCTAAGGCACAGAGTGAGACCCTGTCTCAAAGACCCAGACGGATGTAGCAGGAGGGAAGCAGGAAGTGGCCTGTCATCTGCAGATGACTGTAACAGACAGTTCAGGCATTACCTGATGAGCACAGCGCCTTGGAGGTGGGCCAGGAATGTCAACTTTCGTCCAGGTGTCCTTTCTGATACTGTAGATGTAGAGTTCGTTATACATGAAGGTCTGCAGGAAGGAAGTGACCATCAATGCCACAAAGGACACAGCAGGCAGCAATGTCACAGCGGTGAATACGCTCCAGGGAGCTTATACATCAATCACACCAGTGCAGACAGGCCTCGTGTACCTGGGAGGACATGACAGACGCTCCCGACCTGCCACATGCTTAAGTCTCCATGAACTTATGAGCAGGTAAAACACTAATGGAAGATGCTTTACATGCCTAGTCCTCCAAACCTCCCTTTCTCAGGCCAGCCGCCATAGCATGGTTTCAGAACACCAGCCATTGGCTGGCAGCCATCTAATATGCCACCTTTTTTTACAAAGCGCTGCTATGTCCCAGAACAAGGTTCTGAAACAACAGACATAACGGCGGTATCAGCATCCTCTCACCAATCTAAGCTCAAAGCTCACAACAAAATCCTCAAGTCGGGGCCAGCATCACCATGTCAACCGATGGCTCAGGCCCCAAGAGTCTGCAAGACTCATCACTCTCTAACTGTAAGCCAGCTTATAAGTGGATGCAAATACAGAGAGTGAACTGGACGAGGAAGGAAGACTTGGAACTTGTCACAGGCTACTGGAGGAGCCCATGCTTTCAACTGCTTTCCTTCACATTCCAAAACTCCGGGTTTTCTGGACCCACAATTCACTAACACTTTCTCTACTCAAAACAACTCTGTGCACCCATATGACCCAGTGGAGCTGGCTCTGCTGACTAGAAGAGACCAGGACCCCTGCAGCACTAAAGCCCCCGTTGCCAGTCCCGGAGGGATCCTGGTGACTGGTCAAGCACAGCCCACATCAGGCCTGATACTTAGAATGTGGGAGTATAGGAGGGAAGAGACAGGACAGGGCACAATTGTATCACCAATTTACATTCACTTCAAATGAGCCCTAAAAAGATGGGAGAAAAAGAAAAACATATACTTTACTTTTTGGCCATTGAAATATTCACCTCCGAAAAGGATTAATTCATCTTTCTCAGGGTGAGCAGACAGGGAGGCATTTAAGCTGCAAGACAAAAGCCACAGAGGAGCAACATCAGAGAACATAGCACCAGGCTAAGCACAGACTCCCCTTCACATTCCCAAGAGGGCTGAAACCACAGGCTCTGGCAGCCCTTTCCTCCCTTCAGCTGACTCCCAGATATTTTGTAGCAGTGAAAGAAAGGCCGAGTAACATGGTCTGAAAACACAACTGAAAGATGGGAGGTCAGAACATATTTAGGTCATCAAGGAAGACGTAATCTCATTACTGCAGTTCCACCTCCCGTTCCCTTCCACCAGGTAACATTCTCGGCAGGCATTTTAAACTATGCCCTGACACTGAACCTAACACCAATCACTGCTGCTTTATAAAAGTTCCAAACCATCATCAAAAGAAATTCTCCACATTCAGGATGAATATGAACCATCGGCACTCAAAGTGAACTCTGGAGTGAAGGTGTTGGGCTTGCTGCAACAACCAGATGGGCCTGACAGCACACCAACTCAAGAGAAAAGGAAAAGCCAGTGCCAGCAGAATTTACCACCACCACTTTACTCCAGGGCTCAACACTGATTCCCTCCCACACCCTAGAGAGGTAAAGGCTATGTGTGAATCAGAGAGATTCAGGCTCTGGAGCATCCAATTATCTCATACCAAAGTGTCCCATCATGGGCTTCCACTCAGGCAAGTTATGGTGGGATAAAATCAATCCCAGTCTGGGAAAATGAAGCGCCCAGTTTACAACTAAACAAAGTGGGGCTAGAGGCAGAGAGGCTTGCACACTTCCCCTACCTGAACAATACAGCTTATTACACACTTTCCCTACCCCAAATGACAGTCCATGAAGGCCCTCTCCTGATGATCCTGAGCTTCAGCTGAATGGCACAGACAAGTACTAGGGAGCCATAAATCAAGTCAAAAAGGAATCCAATGTTAGAAGCTGAGGAAGCAATCTGATGGAGACCCAAGTTGTCCATTCAGACAATTTTACAAGTATATGAATTCTACATACACTTGGGACCTTGCTCATAAGTTATAAATTCACTTAGAATGACAAATGTAAAGTTTCTGTTTCATAAGCTTTGCACATGGAAATATAAAAGCATTAAGAACAGCAAAAACCTGAGGTGCTCTTCAGTCTACGCCTATGAGACACCCTTCAGATACTCGAAAGGCAAAGGGAGGCTCACTGGGCCATGTCTCTGCAGCAAGAGCAGAATATGAGACCACCTCCCCACCCCCTCAGCAGAGCAGGGGATGACAGCCAGCTCGTCCTAGCATTTGGGAGGCAGAGGCTGGCAGACACTGTGTTCTGGGGCAGCCTGGTCTACAGAGACAGTCCCTAGACATCCAGGACTACACGGAACCCCTGTGTTGAAACCCTCTAGCTTTCCCCCACAACAGGAGACACAAAGCTGTCTCACTTACCGTGGCGTGGGTGGAGAAGATGGTGTCTCTGTGACCTGGGTCTTTTTGGCATCCAGGGTCTGGAAATGGGCTATGAGGGTCTCCAGGTCTTCCTAAAGATACAAAAGTAGCTACTGTGAGACTCAGTAACCTGTCACAGAGTCAAAGGCATGCTCAGCTTTTGTCCCATTTGCCCTACTAGACTGGGATTCAATCACACCTGAGTCCTAAACACACAGAATGTAACACATCCAGGAAGTACTTGCTGCGACACCAATGGCGGCTCTCCTGTAGGTGTAGATGCATGCACTGCCCTTTCTACCAATCAAGGGCTTTCTGTGAAGGGGATTCCAGCCTGGCCACACTGCCTTCAATGGCTTCTGACAACCTGTTTGTGCCAACAGCCTGCCTTGCTGCCTACATAGCCATGCCCGGGATTTCTCTTGCTTACTGGTTTCCAGCTCCCACACCCAACCCCATGATAACATATGCACTCCAAGAGAACAGGGCTTGAGTCCTTTAAAACAGTGCCTGGATGGGGCTCAGTGGTACCTTGAGCCCACCACTCACTGGCCCCAATTGCCCAGATGTGGCACTAGACCTAGAAATTAAGGTTTCAGTTAGCAAGTATGCTGGACAGCACTGAAACCAAGCCTGCCTTCCCACCCCGACCCAGTGCTCATTCTCCTGTGTTTACTAGACTGTCCTAGCTTGCCTTCTTTGTTAGGGAAGAAAAGTGTCCCTGCATCTTACAGCTTATATTCCAACATGAAAGGAAGTCAGATCAGGAACTCAAGACAGGAACCTGGGGGCAGGAAATAAAGCAGAGACCAAGGAGGAAGCTACTTACTGGCTTTTTTTCCCCCTGTGGCTTGCTCAGCTTGCTTTCTTAACAACCCAGGACCACCTGTCTAGGTATGGAATGCCCACAGTGTAGACCCTCCTACATCAATTACTAAGCAAGACAAGACCCCCAGAGACTTGTCTACAAGCCAACTTTATGTATGGAGGTGTTTTGCATGAATGTTTGTAAATGGAGCTTATGCCGGGCAGTGGTGGCGCACGCCTCTAATCCCAGCACTCAGGAGGAAGAGGTAGGTGGATGATCTCTGTGACTTTAAGACCAGCCTGGTCTACAAGAGCTAGTTCCAAGACAGGCACCAAAGCTACAGAGAAACCCTGTCTCAAAAAACAACAACAACAAAAAGATATAAAATGATGCCTACAAAGGCCAGCCAGTTGTGAGCCAGTGGGTACACAGAATAAACCCTGGATCCTCTGAAAGAACAGCACATGCTCTTAACAGCTGAGCCACTTTGCCAGCCCTGTACAGGTCAATGTTACAGATGTATTTTCTCAATTGAGGTTTCTTCTTCCCTGGTTATGAGGATGGGAGCCCAGGAAATCCTGTGCCTGGAAAACTATTGGGCAAACCCTGGTCAGCATAGCTGCCCCGTATGAGAAAGACCTAAGACAAGAACAAGCATGGCACTTTGCCCGAAGTTCAACACTGATCCATCTGCAGTTCCTGGGATAATAGGAGTGTGTGAAAATATGATAGCAGGGGCCAGCACCAACTGTTCTGAAATACCCCACAGTTCCAGCGACTTATCTGGTTACCTAACACTACTTGTGCCGCCAGCGTTGGTGGCGCACGCCTTTAGTCCCAGCACTCAAGAGGCAGGGGCGGGCGGATCTCTGTGAGTTCGACGCCAAGCGGGCCTACGTAGTGAGTTCCAGGACATCCAGGGCTACACAGAGAAACCCTGTCTCGGGGAAAAAAAAAAAACATTAAAAATCTTACTTGTGGCTCACTCTCTTAAGGCTGTTGGAAGGAATATCTGCCCTCCCTTGAAGAAAAAAAAAAGCGCAGTACAGTTAAGCCTTTACTCCGAGAACGCACACCTGAACAAAGTAAGGGCCACTCAACTTCAGATTCTCCTCCACTAAACCCCACCACGCTGCTCCACTCTACCAAAAAGGGAAGCAAGCAAAACCGAACAGCGTCCGGGACAGATCTGATTTTCAAAGGAAGCGTGGGAGAGAGCGACCGGGTAAACCAGGGGTACCGGTGCGCGGAGGGGTACCGGAGAAACGGAAAGGCCTGAGGGCGCCGGCTCGGCGCAGGCCCGCCACTCACAGACCCCGGCACGACTCCGGTTCCCGGCCTCCCAGCCGCAGACCCAGGCCACGCCACGCCTCCCTCCACTGCCGTCCCTCTGAGCCTCGCTCACCTCCTCCTTCCGCGAGCGCTTGGACACCTTCTTCTCCATCTTGGCGGCCGTCTTCTCCGCGCCGCGGCCCTTCTTCTCTTTCTTGCCCTTCTTGCCCATCGCGCCGGTTCTGAAGCGGCACCGGGAGACGACGGAATGAGAGCAAGCGGCGTTCTGCCACGGTCGGGAACGAGCGGCGCGCGAAATAAAGGTCACTTCCTGTCCGTTTCTCTGGTGTTCCGGCGAGCAGCCGACTCCGCGAGTACTTTGGGTCCGCCTTGCCAGCACATCTTGGGACGCTTTAGTACGGAGCTGCTCCTGGATACACTGGCTAAGTGGGGAACTCTAGACTGGAGCAAGTGAACTTCTGGACGTCTCATATCCCCAGAGAAATTTCCGTGCATTTAGGGGATTTCTGACCCAAGTTAAGGCAGCCCCATTCCCTACCCCATGTAAATGTGCCAGTCGTTTGTCAGGCTCTCGAGGCACTGCCCTGAGCGAGAGAACAGCCCTTGACCTTCTGCAGGCGTGGCTCCGCTGACCGACACGTCCCTCCGTGGGGAGGCCCCTGCTGATGACATCAATCTATCCTCCCAACGGTGCTCAATTTATAGTATGACAAATATGTGGTAGGAAAATATGCTCCAAAATTTGACTCAAATGGCAGAGTGGAAGACAGATCCTACGGTTTGAAAAGGCAGAGTGGAAATGCTCATTGCCTAGAGGGTATCATCTTTGGGATGTACTCAAGGAATGGCGCAAAGTAAGGACAAGGACAAGCAAAATATCAAGCAGAGGGAATACAAATGAATTTCCTTCTCCATGGGAACGCTGCCAACGCACCGCCTTTAAAGAAACTGGCTTGGATCTGGCAACCACTAATCACTGAAGCTCTAAGGAGGCATGAGCTCCCAGATCATTCAAGATTTTTCTAGAAACTTAGTTCTTAAGAAGAAAAACAATGGCGTTGTGTGATTTTTCCCGAAGAGATTCCCAGAAACAGAAGCCCACTTGCTCCAGTCTAGGTCAGAGTCTCCCACTTAGCTAGTGTATCCAGGAGCAGCTGCATATTTTTACCCCAAATAGGACGTCAAAAGATAAAAGAAATGCATTCATTTTGGTAGCAGATACACTAGAGTTGGAGCAATGCAGGGATTATCATGGCCCCAAGATTCGTGAAGCGTTCTGTATTTTTCAAGGCTGAAACTGAGATTGTTATCCTCAAAAAGCTCTTCTGGGCTGTCTGCAGTGCTGTCCTAGGACTGCATCCACAACAGCCGCACCTCACTGTTCCCAAAGGAAAAGCCAATCAGGATGGTGTCTTTGCTCCTTCTTCAGACCTGTGGAAGAGAGAGCATATTCCCCGTGGAAGATTTAGAGGGATTTGAAAGAGGCAGGAATTGGTGCTTTTATGGTCTGGAAGAATCTCAGCGCTAAATTGGAAAGCTCTTGAGTAATACGGGTCACAGGGATTCACGAGAGGTTGAACTTATCATTACCAGGACCAGGTTTTTGGGGGGGGGGGGTGTTTTTATTGTTATTATTTGTTTGCTTGTTTTTTGAGACAGGGTTTCTCTGTAGCTCTGGATGTCCTGGAACTTACTCTGTATACCAGACTAACAACGCACTCAAGAGATCCACTTGCCTCTGCCTCCTGAGTGCTGAGATGGGAACAGCATGCCTGGAGGACAGAGTTCCACTACAAATGAGAGAGAAAACAAGAGGTGGAACCAGATGAAGGCTCCCATGGTCTCCAGCATTGCTTGCAGATTCTGTGTGGTGGCAGTGGGGGGGAAATCAAAACAAAACAGAAAACATTTATCTGATCAGACAGAGACAGCAATACGGGCTGAGTCTCTAGACATCATGTTCATTGTAGCAACAGACTGCATCCTGCCCATTGCTCGGGGGAACATTATGTCCCCTTCTGTCCCCTTATGTTGTCTCTTTAAAAACATTCCTTTTCCTCCCTGGCTTTTATAAGAATATTAGGTAACTTCCAAGCAGCAGTACAGAAGACATCACATCAATACACAGTATAGAACCGCAGTTCCTCTTCAGGCCTCTAGAATGGAGCATGTATTCCCTGTGGAAGATTTAGAGAGATCTGGAAGCAGCCGGGCTTAATGCTCTTATTATCTGAAAGACTCTCAGAGCTAAACTGGAGAGCTCTGGTGATACATGTCACAGTGATTCACAGGAGATGGAAATTTTCATTACCGAAGAGGAAATGGAATAGAACAGCTAAAGTGAGATCAGAATCCTAAAATAGTGGGAATATTAAGTACCAAGTCCTATTTTAGTAAAATTCTTATTTTTGAAAATTTAATAGTTTGTCTTAAATGTAATGTCACTTTTAGACTCTTTGATGTAGATGGCCAGGCGCCCTCTGCTGCCTTCAACTTGAAGTTCAGAGGAGGAGAAAGAGTCCATTCCTGATAAAGGGCTGGAAAGAGAGGGTACTGACTGCTAACCGCCTTCACCACAAATGACCAAGGCGACAGGAAGGATTGAGTCACTCAGTTAACATTTACTGAAAGTTCTACAGGGTGAGAAGTCATTCCAGGCCACAGGAGGGACACCAGTGAGCAGGCTTTCTCCTGTCCAGACAAACATACGAAGACACCCGCCAAAGAAGTCAAGTGCAAATAAGTCGTGTCTTATTCTTATGCGAATAAGAACGGGGGCTGGTGGGATAGAGAGATGGCTCAGCAGTTAAGAACGCTGGGTCAGTTCCCCCACCCACACATCAGCACCCATATGGTGGCTCAAAACCATCTAGCGCCCACTCCTGGCTTCCTCAGGCACTGCATGTTTAGCACATGGCTCATAGACATGCATGCAGGCAAAGCACTCATACACATAAAACAAGAATAAGTAAAATAAAAAGGGGGGCTAGAGAGATGGCTCAGAGGTTAAGAGCATTGGCTGTTCTTCCAGAGGTCCTGAACTCAGTTCCCAGCAACCACATGGTGACTCGCAACCATCTATAGTGAGATCTGGTGCCCTCTTCTGATGTGCAGGCCAAACACTGTATACATAATAAATAAATAAATAAACAAACAAACAAACAGGAGAAACCAGGAGGTGGTGGCGCACACCTTTAATCCCAGCACTCAGGAGGCAGAGGCAGGCAGATCTTTCACTTAAAGGCCAGCCTGGTTTATAGAGCAAATTCCATTAGAGCCAGAACTACACAGAGAAACCCTGTCTCAAATAAATAAATAAATAAATAAATAAATAAATAAATAAATAAATAAATAAATTGAAATGAAATGAAGAGAAAAGAAAAGAAAAGAAAAAATGAATGAAAGGAAGGAAAGAAATAAAGGGTAGAGAGCGATGGAATGCAAAGAGAAAGCCACACGATAGATGTTGTGCCTCGATTTCTAGTTGTTTGGGGTGGAGGCACATAAATCCATCTTTGCATCACCCTGAAAGCTAAATTCTTCCTCTTCAGGGCATTACCTCATGACCTGCTCTCTGGAGATCTTTTTTGTTATCCCCGGGCCCTGTGCCAGGCCAGTCCTCTTCTACTAACCTACATCCTAGCCCTGTCTCATTGTCCTTTTGTTACTCACCTCTAATCCCTGCTTCTGTAGTTGGAAAATGCACTCTGTTGCTCCTGGTCTGCTCCAGCTCGTCGGTGAGTTTGAGGATGTTTGGTGTGTTCCTGGAGTGATGGAGTCTGCCACGGAGTTCTGCCACTGTCATGTGTAGTTGATCAATTAACTGATTGATTAGAAATTCATTGTTTAGACTTTCCATGGTAGTGGTTCTCAACCTTCCGAAGCTGCAACCCTTTAACACAGTTCCTCATGTTGTGGAGACCCCAACCATAAAATTATTTCCATTGCTACTTCATAACTGTAATTTTGCTATGGTTATGAATTGTAATGTAAATCTCTGTGTTTTCTGATGGTCTTAGGTGATCCCTATGAAAGGGTCATTTGACACCCCCCCCCCCAAAGGTTTGAGACCCACAGGTTGAGAAACACTCTTCTATGGCCTTATATATTATTGTTGACTTCTTCTACTTGTTTGAGTCAAACCCAGAGAGGGGAATATTTCCAACCCTAGAAGAGATTTATGTAGCCATTTTCATAAACAATAAACTGCATGTGCTTAAAGTATGCACACGGGGCTATGCTGGAGCAGGTAGATGCTGAGAAACAGGAGGGACCTACATTTGGCCCTGCCTTCAGGGAGGACACACCAGCTCAGGCTGGGGAATGGAGGGGAATGAGCAAAGAATTCATGAGCCCTGGAATTCCAAAGTGGAAGTCTAGGTGCAAGTGGGTCATCTCTTGTTTTTTAAAAGGTTTATCTTCATTTTTAGGTATGTGTGTGGATGTGTGTCGTGTGCATGTGTGTGCAGTTCTGAAGAAGGCCAGAGGGGACATTAGATCTGCAGGAGCTGGAGTCACAGGTGGTTGTGAGCCACCAGACAGAGGGCCGGAATGCAGCTCGTATCTCTGCATGAACAGCGTCCACTCCCAACCACTGAGTCACCTCTCCAACCCCAGGTAAGTCCTCTTTTTAATGGACATTTTCAAACTTCTTGGCCTAGGGCTACATGTGCTTTCCTTCTAAATAAAAGAAAAAGACAACAAATTAAATAAAAGTGTAGAATTAAATATACATTGGCATATATTGTTATGAGGCCACCACCACAGCAGCAAAACACTCCTGTCCCCCATACATTTCCCTGGGCACTTCTCTAGTCTCGTCTTCCCTTCTGCATCCCTACCCCAGTGCTCGCTGGCAGGGATTGCTTACCATCTTCAGGGTTTTAGACACAGAATCAATCATAAAGTGAATGTCTTTGGGGAGGCATTCAGGGGACTCTGTCTTCTTTCCCTGAACCTAATTCTTTGGAGAGTTGCATGCTTATCTATGACCATTTTTGACATATCCATGTGTTCTCATTCCTGCCCCCTCTCATATAGGAACCAAACTGAAGGCCTCCTGCATGCTAGACAAGTCCTCTGCCACTGGCTCACACCCCAGCCTAATGAATTCTTTTCTGGGTGCAGACAGACCGCACCTCATCATTGACACAGCACCTGACATGGATCCAAGCCGCTTTCAACTTGAGGGTGTGACGAAAGTCTCTGCTTTGAACAGTCTGGATCTGACTCTTACAACCATGTGGTTTTGTTTCCCTTGGGTGAGTGCTTAGAAGCAGAACGGCTAGGTCACAGCTCGCTGGAGGTGTGTGTATGGTCTTTTAACTGCCCAACCATTTTTCCAGTGTGGATCATACCATGTTACGTCCGCGGCAGCAGCAGTGAGCAGTCCAGACAGGTCCATCCCTGTGCACACCATTGATTCTCACCATGGTGGGAGTCTGTCTGTCTTTCCTAATGAGTAAAGACCCTCCTTGTTCTTCATTTGGAAATGATGTTTTTATAGTATGTAGTTAAGACATACTTGTCTTTAATTTTGTAATGTGTAGAAAAACAAAGCAAAGCAATGAAGGAAGCTTTAAGTCACT